TTATGACTTAAGAATATGTGAGCTACTATTGACTTCAAAAAATGATGAGGGAATTAAAGTTGTTGGAAGGGAAGAGTCTAGTGCTACACTGTGTCAACTAGGTAGCAAGTAGCATCTTTTACAATCCAGTTCAACAACGAAAGGACTAGTTGACATTTTATCGGAAAAAAAAGTTTTTTGTATATTCTAAATATCTTCCATGTAAATTTCAGTAAACAACTTGCATCTACCTCCATTAAAGGATTAGGAAGTACCCAATTTCATGGATTGATTTACAAGATGGGCATGAGAGATATCTATGCACCATCTTGAGAGGGAATCTTTACTGCCAAGATTATTCAAAAAGATCCTCGTAATTATTATGTGGATGTTCCTTACTCAAAATAAAGCCCTCAATTAATAATATGTATCTATAGTCTTGTTTAGAAATAATATAAACGTGTATAAATATGTCACGGAGTAAATTGATAATATAAACATGTATAAACCTTTTCTCTCTTTCTTTTATTTTAACTGCAATCACAATAACTTTTTTCTTTTGTCCTCCTTTTGGAAAGTGAATTTTTCACTTTCAGCATCAAGAAGACCTGCCTATGGAAGACATTAGCTATATAGGAAAGGACTATACATAAACTACCCCATTATTTTTAGCCTACGTAGGAAATATTGCTATTTATGTTATTTGGTATCATTTTCCCTTAATTTTCCTATAATTCTATGATTTTATCCCCCATACACGAGTTGATCATAAATTGGAAATGTTATTTTGGTAATATTCTTATCAATTGCTTCTTAATCAATATTACTTCTATGTTACTGTTAATGATTATTTGTGATCTATTTACTTTCAAAATGAATTTAAACTGATAAGCATATCTAAACTCTTTTTCCCATTTATTTGATCTTTCAGAGCATTGAGAAACTACTTAATCAATCAAGCAAAAGGTTGGAGAAGAGGAATGAACCTGATGATAAATCCAGTCAGAAGGTCAGTACAATTACTATGTATTTAAGATGTTAGTTGAAAGCCAAGTTGTTATAACTTTGGTTCTTTAATTAGATGTTGAAATTTATAACTTTTAGTCCCATCTATTCTCCCTCTGCTGTTGATAATGAATTTATTTCTTATGATCCTAATATGGACTTGCCTATTGCCGTTAGAGAAGGAACTATAAAATATATCCAACACCTAATTCCTCACTTGTGTATCATTTCACAATTTTTTCCACATGATAGGAGTTTGTATGAGATTTAGAGAGATCGTCTATTGTATATTAGGAAGGAACATTATATGAGTATATATAGCTTATACAAAGAGAAAAAGTAGGAGACTAATTGCAGCACAAATCAAAACCTCTATATCAGAGAGATTCTCTAACCAGTATCGACTATTTTTAGGAAGGCTAACATCCTAATATTAAGGTAGAAGATTGCGGGATTTCCTATTATTCCCACTCAATATGAATATTTCATTCCCAACTTGGAGATAAGTCATTGGAAAATCACACTACTGATTGTTTTTTGTTAAGAAATCTACAAGTTGTATTAGTTGAGATTTATTGAGTACAAATCAATATGTCCAACTTTTTCTGTATGAAGCTTTTGTTATATGCATAGGATTGTGAGCAGTGTTAGTGGCAAATTTGTTGTTGCAAAATAATGTCATTAGCCCATCCTAGATGATCCATAAATCTTCCAAAATTATCTTGAGCCATAATATTCACAAACTTTCTGTGCTATCACCCTAAACTCTATCTCTGCACTTGATTTGGTGACCACATTCTGCTTCTTACTACTTCAAGTCACAAGATTTTCTCCAAGAAAACTACATTAACTCATAGTTGACAGCTTGGTGACCCTGCATTGTGCATGTTAGTGTATGCCCCAAGAGCTAATTCAGTCGTCCTTTTGAATAAATTTCTTTTGTTAGGATTAGTCTTTAGGTAATGTACTATCTATAGGCTGCATGAAGGTGACCGTCTCTTGAGCTATGTATGCATAAATTGGCTAACCACGCTCAAGACATATGTGATGTCTGTCCTTGTATGAGCAAGATATATAAGTGTAGGACAAATTTACATGCTAACTTTCCTGTCTTCTTTAGGAGATCGATCACATACTTATGCTATGAAACACGAATTAAGGGTGTGCACAGTCTGATCCAGACAGGAAAAACGAGACCGGAACCGGATGTTTGGTCCATACCAGAGTGGATCAAAATAGGTCCATACCAGAGTGGACCAAAAATATTTTGGTCCAATCCTCATTCCATGGAAGCATGGATTGAAAAAAACCGGTCCAGTCCCAGTTTGGACTGGCTAAAAGAAATATATATACACCCACAAAACCCAAACAAACAGAACCTATATCTTATTTTCCAAGCCTTCCTCTCCTGCTGAACAGTCCTCCATCTGCTTCCCTTTTTCTTTCTCTGCTTCGTCCCCAAAGCTCATGTTACACCAGTCACCAACATTGCTTAAGCTTCTCCTTTGCCAACACCGTTGGTATCTCTTTCTTTGCTCTTGGTTGGATTCATGAGGACCTCAAATCCCCTCTCTTCTCCATCTTGTTATTATACTTCGTCATCCATTCATCTTCTTCCTCTGATTTGAACTTTTCTTTAAAAAAAAAAATTTAAAAGCAGAGAAATTGAGCGAGAGATATTGGCTGGTTTATATATATAAATATATCTATACATATATATAACATACATACATGGCAGTTTATTTCTATTAATGTTTTATTAAGTTTTGAGTAAAATTGAAATTAAAAGAGTAGTGGGTATTGGAATCTGGGGTCCTATGTCTCTATATATATATATGGATATATATACATATGCAGCAGCAATGAATTTCCATATATATAGCATTTTTATAGTTGGCAAAGTAATGGAAATATTTGGTATTTTTGTCACCATCTTTAAGCCACTTCTCTCTGGCCTTTTGTTTCCAAAAGAAGGCTTCCAGATTAAGTTTGTTGGCAAGTTCCATTTTAAGACTATTTTTTCTTTCTCTATCAGTGGGAGACAGTCCCGAAGCACATTCTGCCTTTTCCAGAATATCAAGCTCCCTCATAAGACTGTTGATGTCATTTTCCTCAGCCTTTTCCACATCTTTAGTCCAGATTTTAATTTTCTCTGTCAGAATTGAGTTTGAAGGCAAGACAGTAACTAGTTGTCCCTTTACAGACATTGTTTTTCCATACAGTTTCAACCATGGATTTGAAATTATCAGATTTGAATTATTTGTTGTCATTTGTAAAAGGTGAAGGACCCATTTAATACCTCCAGGATCAAGGCAAATAAGAAAGTGATCAGAGAGAGGTCTAGTGAGTATCTTTTGAGATTGACCCGGCATGTTTAGGAGAAGACCTTGACTGACTGGAAATCTGTCAATCCTCACATTTTATTGTTTCTTAGTTTTCTCTTAAAGCCCATAATGATATCCATGAATATCTCTTTCTCCATGTTGCCATGAAGAAAAATATTATTTACATTGAATTGTGCCAAATACCAATCAAAACTAGTCACTAAAGACACCAAACCTATTACGACATGTATTTTCGCCACTGGAACAAACATCTCTTGGTAGTCCACACAATAGATATGCATATATCCCTTTGCCATGATTCCAGCCTTATATCTCTTTAGGGAGCCATCTGATCTATACCTCATTATAAACACCCACTTGTCCTACTCCCCTTCTCATCAAGGCACTATCAAGATTGCATTTTGGTCTTTGAAGGGATAAACTTAGACTTATCTTAGTGCGGTCAGTTTGCAGAGGAGTATTGACAATTAAAAATAATGGAATAAGTCCAGAAGACAAAGAATTAAAGAAGAAAATGATAAAATAAACAAAAGAATCATATTCGCCATATAAAAAAAAAAAAAAAAAGCATGATAAGAAAATAAAAGCAAGGCCGAAAAGACAATTGGAAGTGCCGGGAAAGGGCTTGGAAAGCCAGGATAACCACTGGAATGGAAATGCGTTTCCTTACATTTCTGTGTTTATTTCCAAAAAAAAAAAAAAACACTCCTGTGCTATGTGTGTGTGCATATGTATTGTGTATGCATTTATTTTTCAGCAAGCATGCTTTGTGCATCATCCAGTCTTGCACACAAAACTTCCGAGATAGCGGCATCACAGCAACAGTACAGCAATTAAAAATGCTGGAAAAATGCTGACAGATAAACAGTTCTGAGCCCAGAAGCAATATCCTATTCTGGTTGGAATTTCCTTCCCTACTCTGCCTCAATAATTTGCTCTGCCTCTAACACTGTTTGCAGCCTATTAATAAACCATTTAATTCAAACTCCATCTGTAATAATAATTATACATAATACACATCTTTTGGACTCTAATTTTGTAGTGTAATTAATTTAGGATTATAGAAAATTTATTTTATACATATTGTACTCTGTCACCTATACATGGGTGCATGTACCTACACAAAAATCATTACAAAATAAGTTCAGAAGATTTTCAGTTCTCTTCTCTTATTTCTTCATGCCCTTGCTCAGATCACAAACAACATTTACAAATGCCTCGTGGGAAGATAGTCCTGCGAATCTGAGATGTCTTTAACAGAGAACTCTAGAATCACCTTGAAGCACGGGCATCTCTGCATAGAAGAAATTATGACCAACTCAAAGCAACTCTTCTCGGCTATCACTATTTAATCAGAGACTCCCCTCCCCGAGCCAGCTGCAAGATAGACAGCTTTCTTGGTTCTAGACTTGAGGGCAGGCAGATCCAGCCCACAAACATCATCTACAATCTTCATGAGTCTCCATGCCTTACGGAAAGAACAAACTCCTCCTAACACTTCCTTTTCTTTCTATAGACAACAAGTACTTTCTACTATTCTTTCTTGCCAGGACAAGCCAAAGATTCTATTTGTGGTCTTCAAACTCTTCGCCTAGTAAGCCAGTCCTCCCTTCGGGTAGAACTCACTAGAACCAACTAATTTCTGCCCCAACAAGAGAAATGTTGATACGTAATTATTTACCATACTTTGAGATATGCACTTCTTTTTTTGAATATTGTTATTTTGTATTCCTGGTGCAATTATTTCTCATTTCGAAGAAGTAAAAGAGAGATATGATAAGTTCCTGTTGAAAGGTTTTACGGATCTTATGAAGTTTGGTGTTTTGCACGCACCATGAACATCTTCTGTTTTGGTATTAAGTGGAAGTTTTCTGTCAATAGTCTTCTTTCCTCTGAAGTTTGGTGCTTTGCACGCTCCATGAACATCTTCTGTTTTGGTATTAAGTGGAAGTTTTCTGTCAATAGTCTTCTTTCCTCTGAAACTTGAAAACTTGCAACCTTTTTACTATTCTTGATTGATTCACCATTTTTCCATTGTATGGTTCATTTTACAGGCCAGTGATATGCGTCGAAACTCTGAAGGATCTTCAACTCAGGAAAGGCTGCAACTACAACATGTGGATTATTCTGTTTGGTATTCTTTTAATTTTCATAATTTCTTTCGTTTCTAACAACTTCTAGGGATTAATATTGAAAAGAATATAGAGGGGCTGATGTCAAGTAGTTTCAATTATTGAGCATACTTTCTTCAAGAGGGGAAGTTCTGTTTATAAGGCATTGATTAGTACTTTAAAATATTTTCTATTTTAATTTTTCAAATTTGTTCCTGTGTGCATAAAAATACATAAAGCAGTGCAAACAATAGCAGTTAATAATAATAAAATAAGGATGGGTTTAAAAGAGTATAAAAAGTTGTTTTTAAAACTGTTCTCATTTTACTTGATTATTCCACAAATACACATCATCCAACATGTTTTCATAAACGAAGATATGGGTAAGCACATATATAAATATTTATTAATTTAGGATATGAAAACTAGAAACCAACTACAGGGATAACTGTGTACTAAAGCGTAATTAAGTTTTATGAAACAAATAATAACAAGTGTAAAAGCAAAGTCATCACTAACCATACTACATCAATTTTGATGCTGTTTTTATAGTGATACTAAACTATTGCAGGTTCTGGTAAGGAAATTTTTGAGTTATATATGGAAGCATAAGAAAAGCATGAAGAAAAATAATTTTTTGCTAATCTTTTGGGATAGCAAGTTTTCAAAGCTATACACCAATAATATGGGGGATTACTTTTGGAGGATAGCTCTCACTAATTGTATCTTCTAGTCTTCATTTTTTTAAATTTATGTATTTATGCTTGTTTTATTTACGGAAATATGTAAGTGTTGCATATTTGGTGAAATAATAAAAATGCAGACATAATAAGTATTAGAAAATATTAAAAAAATATATCTTAAAATTTTCTGATTTCATTATTATTTCATTAACATTCTCTTCATCATTAACTAATTTCTACAGTTTTGTGAATGTGATACCTATAAATTTAAAAAATGAAAACTAGAAAGCATTTTTATGTATCAAACGGAAACTAAGTTTCTCAAACCCTTCATGGCTTGTGTTTTTATTGCCTTAGTAGTGAAAGTAAAGTTTCAAATACAAATGGTGGGAAAATATCTAAAGAGCAAAAAGAGAGGAATAATCTTCAGAAGGAAGTGTTAGCCTCTTTATTTACTGCTGCTGATAAATCGGAGGAGTTACCAAGAAGATCAGTAAAAACTGTAAGGAGGCCTATAGGATTAGGAGAGTTGGTTACTCCAAGGGACTTGATTCCAGATAAGGTTGTTGCATTTCATTCACACTCGGAGGCCAAGGATTATGAGGATGGTATGTGCTACTATTATCATTTTAAACAATTGATTGTATGGACCTTCTGGTTATTCATTATTCTTTTTTTTTTTTTTTATAAAAGAACTTTATTGATGAAAAAGAGAATTTTCAGAAGAGACGGAATAATATCATTCAACCAAACAAAATAAAGAAACAAGAAATAAAAAAGGAAAACCAGAAAGCTTTAAGACAAAATAGAGATCGAATCTCTTTGCAAAGTAGGTAAAAGCATCCTAATAATATCCTTCAACCAAGAAAAATGATGAGGGTGAGAAATTAGAAAGGGGGTTACAAATGAGGGAATGTAATAATTAGGGAAAAGAATTATGAATATTTACATGCATTTAGTTACATAGAGTTAGGAGTTCATATAGAAGAAGAATCTATACATGGAAACATAAATCACCTTATTAATGTTAGGAAATCAAATAACAATTACATAAAAATATTTCATAATATATTTTGTGATATTTTAACACTCCTCCTTAAGGTGAAGCATAAATATTGATTATATTCAGCTTGTTACAAAGATATTCAATTCGGGTTTCATTTAAATCTTTTGTGAATATATTACCTAATTTTTCTCTTGTTTTCACATAACCGATAGAAATCAAGTTCTCTTGAATTTTCTTATGAATGAAGTGACAATCAATTTCAATGTGTTTATTTCTTTTATGGTACATTAGATTTAAAACAATATGAAGAACAACTTGATTATCACACTAGAGTTTTGCAAGTAATATGAGATTCAAACCCACTTCCACTAAGAGATGTTGTATCCGTAAGACTTCACATGTGAACTGAGTCATAACTCTATATTCGAACTCTGCACTGGATCGGGACACAACGGTCTGCTTCTTACTCCTCCATGATGTTAGGTTCGCATTAACAAAAATACAATAAGCTGTCGTAGATCTTTTATCAATTTTAGATGCAGCCCAATCAGTATCTTGAAAGCATTCAATGTGAGTGTGCACATGATTGCTAAACAGTATATCAAGTCCTGAAGTACTTTTTAGGTAGCACAAAATTTGTTCTAAAGCCTCTCAATGTTTGACTGTAGGTGCAGACATAAATCGGCTAATAACACTGACAGGATATGCAATATTTAGGCGAGTCACTGTGAAATAATTTAATTTTCCAACTAATCGTCTGTACCTTTTTGAATCATGAAGGGAGTCATCATATTTTTAGTAAGGTATACATTTGATATCATTATTGTGTTACATAGTTTAGCTCCCAACTTTCCAGTTTCTACTAGTAGATTAAGTACATACTTCTTCTGAGATAAGAAAATCTTTTTTTTGTTTCTTGTTACTTTTACTCCCAAGAAGTATGTTAACTGATCTAAATGTTTGTTGTGAAACTTAGTATATAATAATGATTTGAGAGAGGATATTCTTGCACAATCATCACTTGTAATAACAATATCATCGACATAGATAA